CATATAATACTTGACTTTTGAAATACAGAGCAAGTGTGTATGGGAACACCGCTATAGCGCGGAAGTGGCTGCAAATTTCCATCTAAAAGCTCGAAAGCGGTTGTCCCATTGTTTCTCCAAAGCTAGGCGGTTGAACCAGAAGCCTGGCTGGTTGCTTCAGAATTTATGGGATGATTTGCAAAGGCAATGGCTTACCGCAGAGTTCTTACAGAAGAGCGAAAAAAGGAAAAGCCCGGGCATCTGAGAAGGGAGGATCCTTGCACACTGGAGGTGCGATCAGCCTAGGGACGATAAAACGAAGAATGGTACGTAATTGCTTAATTTATTTTAATTTTCAAAGTATATGTATTCTGTTTATTAACTAAAATTTATGAGTTTTCAGGAAAAAAAGTTGGGGCATCCGATGAACCAAGATGAGCTCTTCAAGGAGACTCATATTGTAAAGAAGAAGAAAGAGACGGACCAAGAAAGGTGGGTCGAGGGCCGAGCCTCGACTGTACATGTAAGTTTTCACTTTTCATTAAAAAATTTGATTTACTTTTATATAAATTTTGAAATAGTAATTCAATGTAATTTTTCTTATAGGGTCGCTTCACAGCTGAAGTGGAGCAATTCATACGCAGTCAGCCACCTAATGAGTCGGGCGCGCCAATCCAACTATCGGACGAGGATGCTGAGAGAATGTGGACGCAGGCTGCTGGCGGTCCAAAATGGGGGAAGGTATACGAGCTTCCTAATAAAAAATTCCATCGCTATAAGTGTGGAATGCAAGGAATAGGACTTCCTCCCAAGCCGAGCAACTTGATGGGGAGAGCCTCTCCTCTATGCGGGAGACTGTACAAAAGCTCACATCCGAGCTAGAAGCCGCCAAGGAGAGAGAAAGGCTTAGAGATATGCAGTACTCTGGCATGCAAGCTCAGTACAAGGGCATGCAAGAGCAGATCAAATCTCTCCTAGCTTCTGGCAGTTTTCCGATTCCCCGGTCTCGTGAGTCATCGCCAGAGGCTCGCATTCCCCGTGCTCGTTCCTCCCGTCCTCCCCATGATCGTTCTTCCCATCCTCCACAAATAGCCCATTCTGGATACCGTCATGGTGAAGAAAGTTCATCAGACGGTGATGATAATGATGTACAGAACAATCTTTAAACTTATTAGTTTATACTAGACAAATACAATCGGTTTTCGAATGGTTTTGTAATAACAGTTAACTTATTAGTTTGGTTAGCTTAAAGTATAAAGTTCTATTGAACTTTATACTTTGTTCGTTATAATGTAGTTATTGTGTTGTTGTTGTTGTTGTTGTTGTTGTTGCTTTTTAGTTGTTGTTGTTGCTTGTTGTTGTTGTTGTTGGCATAAAATGCCTATTTAGGAATTTGGTAAGCTGGCAGGTGGTGTAGCTGCCAAAACATGCAGTTCCTGCCAGCAATATACCAAAAAAGCGACCAACTTTGGTCGCTATTTGGTTGCTTCTCTATTAAAAAAAATAATTTTCTGGGAAATAGTGACCAAGGTTGGTCGCTATATAATCCAGAATTCACAAAAAGCGACCAACTTTGGTCGCTATTTCCCAGAAAATTAACAATTTCTGGAAATATAGCGACCAAAGTTGGTCGCTTAATACTAAAAAAAAAAATTAATTCATGAAGTTGGCGACCAACTTTGGTCTATTATTTTAAAAAAAAATTAAAATAGTATAGCGACCAACTTTGGTCTCTATTTTCCAAATTTTAAAATATAATATTTTTCTTTACAGACCAAAGTTGGTCGCTGTTTTATGATTAATAATAAATAAAAAAACGTAATTTACATAAAGAGACCAACTTTGGTCGCTAAAATTATATTATTAAAATAATAAAGCAACCAAAGTTGGTCGCCATAGTCAATACCCGGAATATTTGATCCTTTTACCTTAGAGACCAAAGTTGGTCGCTAATTAGCGACCAACTTTGGTCCCTAAAGTAAAGGGACCAGCAATATAGCGACCAGGCATGTTTGGTAGCTTTTTGGTCGTTGTCGCTTTTAGGCCTATAAGCGACCAGCTTTGGTCGCTTTTTGTGGTTGCTTTTTACCGGATTTCTAGTAGTGAAAGACAGAGAAGAGCCTTTTTAAATTTCTCATTTCATATTCACGAGCACCACTTTTTGGTTGAGATTCATGTAATCTCTTATTATTCTCGTTTGGATCAATTTTGCTCTTAGTCGGACCAGAACTATTCATCTCGCTCCCATTTGGAACAAGAAGAGAATATTTATATTTGTTCCCACTTGAAGCAGGACCACTTTCATTTGGATCCGATGATGAAGGTGGATCTTGATGAGAAACTAATTTATCATTGCTCAAAACTACTCTCACTCGAATGAAGATATCCTATTTTGGATCAATTTTGCTCTTAGTCAGACCAGAACTATTCATCTCGCTCCCACTTGGAACAAGAAGAGAATATTTATATTTGTTCCCATTTGAAGCAGGACCACTTTCATTTGCATCCGATGATGAAGGTGGATCTTGATGAGAAACTAATTTATCATTGCTCAAAACTCCTCCCACTCGAATGAAGATATCCTATTTGATCTAGATCCTCAATTTTAGGCAAGTCTTTACCTATCTCGCCTTTCTAAGAAACTTCATTCTCAAAGAATGTGACATCTTTTTATTCAAATTTAGTTACGCCCCACTGTCTTGTAGCCCCCATGAACAAGTAACCTTTTCATGTTTTAAAGTATCTCATATAGACACACTTGCTTCCTCTCTAGCCCAATTTGCTATGAAAGGAGTGTTCACTTTGGCTGCACATCCTAAAATCTCAAAACGCTTTAGGTTGGGTTTCCTACTAGTCCATAACTCATGTGCATTAGGTGTAACTAATTTTTTTAGCACATGGTCATGAACATAGGCAACAATAAATAATGCATCTCCTCAATAGAAAAACAAGTTTGCTTGAGCCATCATCGATCTAACCATTTGAGGAGCTTCTATCTCCTTCGCTCTGCAACATCACTTTGTTGTAGAGTCTTAATGGTCAACTGGTGAACACTTCCTTTTTCATCATAAAAACTCGTTTAATAGGGCCAAGACGTATCCATGGCCTCGATTGGTTCTCAATACATTTAATGATTCGTCTAATTAATCTTCAGTCATGTTCATATATTTCTTAAAGCAACTCATTGCTCAGTTTTATGTGACATCAAATAGACATAACCAAGACGAGTAGTTTTACTAATTTTTAGAAGCTCAATACCTTACCTTCTGTGAAGATTGAGTGAGGAGAAAGCTCCGAGCTACCTCCAATGGAGGTTGTGGAAGCTTCTCGAAGAGAGAGAGTGATAGAGAGGAGATGGAGAGGATAACAAGGTCGGTTAGCTGAAAATTATGATATTAATCAAAAACTGAAAATAATACTGTTCTCAGTACATATATACAAAATGACTAATTGCCTAACTGTCAATGACTAACTAATGATGCTGACTCAGCATTGATACAAATAATATAAATATAACAATATTCTCAATACCCCCCCTCAAGTTGGAGGTGAAGGAGTCACACCCAACTTGCTAAGTACAGAAGAGTGTTTGATCCCAGTAAGAGCTTTAGTGAGTACATCAGCAAGTTGTTGTCTAGTGCCAATGTGATGCAGTGAAATGAGTCCCTCTTGGAGCTTGGTGCGCACAAAGTGGAAATCAACTTCAATATGCTTGGTTCTTTCATGGAACACAGGGTTCCTAGCAATATGTAGAGCAGAGAGGCTATCACAATGTATAGGTATGGGTAGATTGATTGACACAGTGAGTTCTTCAAGCAGCCTGGATAGCCAAACAAGCTCACCAATAACCTTTCTGAGTGCTCTGTATTCTGCCTCTGCTGAGGAAAGGGAAATGGTTTCTTGCTTCTTGAACTTCCAACTAATTGGACTCCCTCCTAGGAACACAATGTATCCAGACACTGATCTTCTGGAGTCTGGGCAAGCTGCCCAGTCAGAATCACAGTATGCAGTCAGGGAAAGATCACCCTCGGTACTGAAACACAGACCCATAGTGGGATCTCCTTTTAGGTATCTCAACATATGATAGGCTGCCTTCAAATGGGGCTCCCTAGGGCCTTGCATGAATTGGCTGAGATGCTGAACTCCATAGGCTATGTCTAACCTGGTGTTAGTGAGGAAGTTTAACTTGCCAATCAGCTTCCTGTAGAAAGTAGGATCAGAAAGTGGCACTCCCTCTTTGGCCTTCAGTTTAATTGTGGGATCAAGAGGAGAAGTCAGGGATGGACAGTGAAGGCATTCATAGTCCTTCAATAGGTCCAAAACAAACTTCCTTTGAGAGACTACAATGCCATCTGACTTGTAAAGGATCTCCAGCCCAAAAAAATAGTATAGTTGTCCCAAATCCTTGATTTTAAACTTATCATGTAAGAAAACTTTAAGTTGATCAATTTCTTCAGAATCAGTCCCTGTGAGCAACACATCATCCATATATACTGCTACAAAAACAATAGAGGAGTTCTGTCTTCTGTAAAACAAGGAATAATCATGCATGGAGTTTACATATCCTCTGGAATATAGCACTTCAGTTAGCTTATCATACCACTGTCTACTTGCCTGCTTTAGTCCATAAAGAGATTTATTTAGCTTGCACACTAGTTGTGGAAAAGACACCTCAAGACCTGGAGGAGTCTGCATATAGACCTCCTCATGCAAATCTCCATGGAGAAATGCATTATTCACATCTAGTTGTGAAATTTGCCACCTTTTCTTTGCTGCTATAGCAATGAGAGACCTCACAGTAGTCATCTTGACCACTGGGGAAAAGGTCTCTGTATAGTCTACACCAGCTCGCTGAGTGTATCCTTTAACAACCAGTCTTGCTTTATATCTCTCAACACTACCATCTGCCCTATGTTTAACTTTATACACCCATCTACACCCAATGGCTTGTTTATCCTTAGGTAGGGGAACCAGATCCCTTGTCTTGTTAGCATACAAAGCATCAAATTCCTGTGTCATGGCATTCTGCCAGCCAGGATATACAGCAGCTTCATCATATGAAGTTGGTTCTCTATCATTGCAAATGTTCTCTACAATATGCTGACTATTAGGATGTAGGGCATCAGAAATGATGTGGTTATTACTGGAGGACATGGCATGTACAGAAAAATTGGCAGTACATTTTAAATTTGGTATTTTGTAGACATAATCATTCATATGATATGGCAATTTATGCTCCCTATTGGATCTTCTGAAAGGTGGAGGTTCTGTCAGGGGCTGAGGGGATGAGACCAGGTCTTGTAGTTGGTCTACTGGAATTTGGAATTCATGACCAGAGGACACAGGTGAAGACACTTCAGATGTTGTGTTGGAGTTTGAAGCATTAGCATTTTCCTGATTGCTGGTACTCTCACTAATGTTGTGGTGCAATTGAGCATCAGCATGATCAGGAGAATTCTCAAAAAATGGTGTATTAGGAAGGACAGATGGAACATTTGATGTGTTGGAGTTAAGAGTGAAGGGGAAAACTGACTCATAAAATGAAACATCTCTAGAGACATGTATTTTTCTAGTGGCCAGACTTAGTACCTTGTACCCATTTGTACCAAAGGGATACCCTACAAACACATGTGGACTGGTTCTTGGTTCTACTTTGTCTCTGAATGGTTTTGGTACTGTGGGGTAGCACAAGCTCCCAAAGCTCCTCAAGTGAGAATAGTTTGGCTTCCTTTTATATAAGAGTTCAAAAGGGCATTTGTTCTTTAGAGGGATGATTGGCAGTCTGTTAATCAAATATGTTGTTGTCAGGACACATTCTCCCTAATATTTTAGTGGCAATTTAGATTGAAAAAGTAGTGCCCTGGCTACCTCAAGAAGGTATTTGTGTTTTCTTTCCACCACCCCATTTTGTTATGGTGTATAAGGACAAGTTTTCTGGTGGTTAATTCCTTTGGATCGAAAGAAGGTGGCAGCTTCATTGCTGGTAAACTCTAGACCATTATCAGATCTTACATATTTGACAGTTGTCTTGAATTGGTTTTCCACCATGGCTGTAAAAGGCCTTTATTATTTGTAAGGCATTGCTTTTGAAGCTTAGGAGGTGTGTCCAAGTGGACCTACTGTAATCATCTACCAGGGTTAAAAAATATTTGAAGTTGTTGTGTGTTGTTACATGGTAGGGTCCCCATAGATCTACATGAAGTACTTCAAAGATTTTAGTAGTTTCTGTTGTTCTTTGGGAAAAAGGAAGTCTGGATTGCCTGGCCATGGGGCAAATGTTGCATGTGAAAGGCTGTTTGTCAGAAAAGGTTACAGGTATGGTAGAGATTCCTTTCATTTTACTAAAGGGTACATGACCAAGTCTGAAATGCCACAATACATCTAGATTAACAGCATGAGATGAACCAGAAAACAAAGTAGAGTTACTGTCTTTATTCTTGATGTTGTGAATGGAATTATTTACAATTTGAAGAGAATTGAAAGATTGAGTTAGACAGTGTACACCTCTTACATCACTAGCATGAATAGAAAGACAAGAAGGATCACACTTGTGTTTGGAACTACCTTTTTTCAGGCACTTGGAGCAAAGGAAGTACAAACCATCCATCAACTTACCAATCTCCAAAGGCCTCTTCAGTGAAGGGGCCTGCAGCAGACAGGAAGTGTCTGAGAATGATGCAATGCACTTTAAATGAACTGCCAAGGAACTAATGGATACCAAGTTAAACTTGAATGAAGGAATGAACAGAACTTTATACAGAATGATTTCAGGTGTTAGGAATACACTTCCAATTTTATTTACTATGACCTTATAGCCATTTGGAAGTTTTACTAATAGAGGATAAGGAAGGTTTACTATGTTTTGCAATTGAGATTTATCAAAGGTCATGTGGTGTGATGCCCCGGAGTCTAATATCCACAAGTCAGCCTTTGCATTGAAGCATCTACATGATGGATTGTCAAAGTCAATTGAAGAAGTGCAAGCAATCATACCTGCAAAATTCATTGATGCTTCACCAACCATGTTTACACTAGCTGGACCTTCTACAATGCTTCCCGTCTGAAAATGCTGCAATAGGCTAACAATCTGTCCATATTGCTCCTTTGTAAGGTTGACATTTTGGCTTTGGCTTTCTCCTTGGGGCTCCAGTTTTTCTCCTTTTTCAACACTTGTGACTGCATTTGCTGTAACATTTCTTCCCTTATTGAACCTTGTAGTATTGTTGTACCCTTGTGTACCTTGTCTATACTGTTGTTGTGGTCCTTGATTGAAGCTTTGAGGATAACCGTGGAGTTTATAGCATTTGTCCTTAGTGTGACCTTGTCGCTTGCAATAATCACAGAAAGGTCGAGCCCTATTGTTCACACTTTGGTTTCCAGTCCCAGTAGAATAATTTTTTTTGAAATTCCTTCCTCCCAGGTTTGCATTTAGTGCTGTGGACTCAATATCTAGTTGGCTTCTGGGCCTAAACTCCCTCTGTTTCTCTTCTTGTATCAGGAGGGCAAATGCCCGTGCCATATTTGGCAAGGGGTTCATCATAAGTATGCTCCCTCGAACAACCGTATATACTTCATTAAGTCCCATTAAAAATTGTATGAGTCTCCTATCCTGCTCTGCCTTATGCATGTTCTCCTTCACTCCACAAGTGCATATACAGCTGCAATGAGCTTTAACACTAAGAGTATTCAATTCCCCTGTAATATCAAGCACTCCCTGACTCAAGTCGTTGATTTCCTTCTGAATTTGGTACAGTTTGGCCCCATTCGTCTGATCATATCGATCCTGAAGCTTTTTCCACAACTCGACGGAATCATTCACGTACTCAACACTGTCAGCTATATCTCTCGATAGGGAGTTCAGAATCCACGAGTGACCATATCATCGCACCTTTCCCATTGGCGAAAGAGTGGAGAAGTCACAAGAGGTTTTTCAGTATCTCCAGTAATAAACCCTAGCTTGTTCTTCACTGAAAGGGCTCTGAGCACACTCCTCCTCCAGGAGTGGTATCCAATCCCATCAAAAGGCACCGGAACTAGACTAGATCCTGGGCTATCGGAAGGATGTATGTACAGAGGACTCCCAGCATCAATTGTGGTCTGCATCGTCGTTGCTGTTGTGGTTGTGGTCGCTTCATTAACTTGATCTGTGACCGCCATGAAGATTTTGTGAGAAATTTGTGAATAATAGTCGGAATGTTCTTCGTACAACTGAGATTTCTTCAGTCCGCTAATGAATCGTCACTGAATGTGCTCGATCCAGATTTCCCCAAATCGTGATTACCAAAGGAGATTGAATGAAACCCTAGACCATTCGAATCAACTGAAAACAATAGAGAGATATGATGTGTGGTCGTTGATCGGACCTCCGCTCTGATACCATGTGAAGATTGTGTGAGGAGAAAGCTCCGAGCTGCCTCCAATGGAGGTTGTGGAAGCTTCTCGAAGAGAGAGAGTGATAGAGAGAAGATGGCGAGGATAACAAGGTCGGTTAGTTGAAAATTATGATATTAATCAAAAACTGAAAATAATACTGTTCTCAGTACATATATACAAAATGACTAATTGCCTAACTGTCAATGACTAACTAAAGATGCTGACTCAGCATTGATACAAATAATATAAATATAACAATATTCTCAATACCTTCACATTCATAAATGACATACGTCCGAATGAATCAATTGCAATGGAAATTCTGTCCTAGTATTATTATCAAATGATTTTCTATTAGCTTTTTTCGGCTAGATGATGTTCACAAGTAAACTTCTCCACATGTTTAAAGTTACCCAACAAATATTTTTTTTCTAGCATTTGCGTATTCATTAGGCTATATGACCAATTCTAGCATGCCGAATTTCACATTATCCTCATGATTGTGACCAGGCAAATATGGAAAGCTAACATATGGATCAAAAGGAACTAGTATCCAACTGCATTTAAAATTATTTATGATAAAACTTGAACAAAAATGAGTTGTTCCTATGTCTCAATGTTATGATTTTTTTTATATATAAAATCCAAACATAACAAAACCAATATAGAAACGATATTCTTCATATCTAAGGAGCTAATAACATGTAATGTAAGATAAACTTTTAATTTTCACGCAAAACTAATTTAAATGATATCGTCTTTTTAACAACCATAGTGTTGTTTTCTATGTATATCCACATTAACATGTGAGATCCATTGGGAGTCCACAAAGGCTTCACGATTCCATTGTTATATGGTCCATGGCTCCTAGGTCTACTATCCACAAAGGATTAGTTTTAAAAAGATAGAAAAATAGAGCTAGCCACACATATATTGCTAATCATAAGGAATACAAAGTACCTTTTAAGACTCATTGTGAGGTGCCATGGTGACGCATGTTATAAAAAATGCAGCATTCCACTTTAGTCACAATTTTTTTTCTTTCTCACTTTCAGTCTTCTTGTTGCTTATCATTTTAGGATTCTCATTTGGTAGAGCCTTAATTTTTCAGTTTCCGCTGGTTTTATGTTTAAAACCATTCATTGAGCTATAAGTTATATATGCGCTTTTTGACCTTCTTAGGCAGCCTCATGCCGCTCTTCTTCTAACTCTAGATGTTGCCTCACATCATCAAACACACTATTATGCTTATTATGAGTCAGGTGCATCCTTATAATGTAACGATCCGACCGATCGTTTTGAGAATTAACGTTCCATTCGGGGGCTTAATGTCTCAAGTAGTTTATATTATATATTATGGCTTGCGTGTGCGGTCGGGTTCGATTTTTGGATGATTCGGGATTGTTTTGGAAGAACATTTCTTGTTTTAGAAGCATACGTGACAGGAGTCGACCGGAGTTTGACTTTCGTATATACGACTCCAGAATGGTATTTTGATGATTTCAATAGCTTCATATGGTTATTTTGGTCTTAGACGTATGTCTGGTTCTGAATTTGGAGTTTCGTAGGTTGATTTGATATATTTTGGCGAAAGTTAAAAAGTTAAAGGTTAGGAAGGTAGAGGGGTTTGATCGGGAGTTGACTTTATTGATATCGGATTCGGATTGTGACTACGGGAGTTGGTATAGCTCTTTTGTATCATTTGAGACTTGCATGCAAAATTTGAAGTCATTCCGAGTTGATTTGATATGATTCAACGTGAGTTGTAGAAGTTGGAAGCTCATCAGTTCATTAAGCTTAAATCGATGTGCGATTCGTGGTTTTGGTGTTGTTCGATGTGATTTGAGGCTTTGAGCGAGTTCGTATTGTGTTTTGGAACTTATTGTTATATTCGAATGGGGGCCTTGGGTGTGTTTCAGATGGGCTACGGGCCATTTCTCCATGTTTTGGGACTGCTGATTGCTATTATCTGGTGTTCTTCACTTGTGTTCGCGATGAAGCAGTTGCGTTCGCGTAGAGTTCTGTGGAAGCCGGCATTTTTTGTTCTTCGCGATCGTGAAGAGGCGACCACGTTCGCGAAGCTTGGGGGACTTATGTCATCGCGTTCGCGTTCTAAGATATTAGATCGCGTATAAGGAAAGATAGAAGAGGCATCGGGTCTTTATTGTCCACGATCGCGTGAATGAAACCACGTTCGCGTAGTGAGCAGGAGGTTGAGTGTTGCGTTCGCGACTTGCTTTACACGTTCGCGAAGAACGTTTGGTCAGCCATTGATTTTGTCTCCGCGATCGCGAAGGTGATGCTGCAATCGCGATGAGTAAATACCCGGGCATCATTATAAGTACTCTATTTCGAGGGCTTTTGTTACTTTACTACTTTTTAAGTTAGAGAGCTCGGATTTGGGCGATTGTGGAAGGAATTTTCATGTGTTGGATTGGGGTAAGTGTTCTTGACCCAGATTTGATAATATTTCATGATTCCATCTTTGTTTTATCATTAAATTAGTGATTTGAATGTGAGAAAATAAGTTTTTTTTCTTTCTAAAATGTAAAACGAAGATTTAAAGGCCAATTTGATGTCGGAATTGGATAATTTTGGTATGGTTGGACTCATATCGGAGTGTGTGTTCGGATTTTATGAGTTTTGTTGGGTTCCGATGTGCGGGCCCGGGGTTGACTTTTTGGTTTCATTAAAGATCAAGCTTTCTTATCCAAAATTATTTTCTATGATTTTTATTCATGATACTAAGTTATTTTGGCTAGATTCGGGCCATCCGGAGGTTGTTTCACACGAGGAGGTTATTTTAGAGTATTGATTTAACTTTTTTGAGGTAAGTATCTTGCCTAACTTTGTGTGGGGGAACTACCCTTTAGGATTTGGGTTGATTGGGTTATTGAGTTATGTGAAAGACGTGTACGCGAGGTGACGAGTGCGTACCCGGGCTTATATGTAAAAATTGACCAGTTTAGACTCTTAGGCTTCTTTCATATATTTATTTGAAAATGTTACCACATGTTATATCTTTTATTTATCATGTTTACTCTCACATGCTTTATTTGAAGTTGTTAGCACATGTCATATCCTTTACTTGTCAAGTCTACTCTTATATGTTTTATTTGAACTTGTTCTTTTATTTTAATGTGACCTCTTTATTAGAGTTATTTCTAACTGAAATTGTTGTTACATAATATTCTTTCGTTGTTCGATCATTCTCATGTAGTTAGACATAGTTGCTAGTTCATGCCATCTCTTTCATTGTTAGCTCATTTCACACACTAGAGTTCGAAGTTTGCTATTCCATGTGAATACCTTCATTGTTGAGTTTATTCTTAAGCAATTAATTGAAGTTGAAGTTATTAAAATCCATTAATCTATTTTAGTTGAAGTTATTTAATGAGGTGAGTTCATTGTTGAGTTACTTTCCTCGTTCATTTGTTGTTATTGAGATTTTGTACCCATCATGTTCGAGCCGTGGGCTATGTGATGTGGTGATATTGGTATTGTTATTGTCGAGATGTTGTGGCCTATGGAAACTTGTGGTACGAGTTGTTATGTTGTATTGTTGTGATGTCAGCACATGTAAATTTATTGTGTGGATTGATTGTTGTTATGCGGAGTATAAGGGTGACATCTCACTATTATCATTTTGCGAAGCATAAGGGTGGCATTTCACTGTTGATGATTGTGTGGAGCGATACGAGTGGCCATTGTATTATTGTCAGGGCAGAGTGATATGGTGGCTATCAGAGTGATACGGGTGGCTATTATGTTAAATGTCTGGGCAGAACGATAAGGGTGGTTATTATGATGTTACCAATATGGAGAGATAAGGGTGGCTATGTCAGGGACGATATGTGATGGCATGGGGGCATTATGTTGATGATATTCGTGTGATGGTGTGATTTTCCTTGTGTATGACATGCACCTTACGTGACTTGTTGTGTTTCTTTCAATGAGCTACTCGATGTCTTTGATATTACTTGTTGAGTTGGACTGTGATAGTACATTCACACAAGCATACACCGTAACATGCCACCTACACCAGTACAGGAGTATGAAAATTGACATTATTGATCATGCCCATGTATTCTTGTATTATCTACTTCCATTGTGATATTAACCATGTGACCATGCCAGGCAGATTGTGATTGTGAACCTGTGACCATGTATGGTGGATTAAGATATTGGCACGTGATTTGTCCGTGCGGTGATGATTGGAAACGTGGGCACGAGGTGCCTTGAGCGTATGATTCATGATTTGGGAATTGTGACTTGTGACTTGTGATTTTGAGATGAGGTATCTCGGAGTAATTTCGTTGTGAGACTTGTGTTAGAACAGTTTAATTAATTGGTTGTTATTTGTTTTCCTTATTTGGTTCCGATGGTACTTTAACGGTGGTTCTTTTTTTACTTTACAATTTATATCATATGTTGATTCTTGTTGCCTTTTTACTAATTCATGCTTTCATTATTAGCTTTATACTCCTATACTGCACAAGTTATTTTGACTAGTAGGTGTCTTGACTTGTACCTCGTCACTACTCCACCAAGGTTAGTCTTGATACTTACTGGGTACCGACCGTGATGTACTCATAATCACTTCTGCATATTTTTGTGGAGATCTAGGTATTGGAGATATCAGACTCGGTCAAAGTTAGATTCTTGATCGCAAGGATTCAAGGAAGAGCTGCTTGGTCGTCATAGTCCCCTGGGTCCTTTTCCTTTTTATTGTACTTTCAGTTTGTTATCCAAACAGTATTATATTTCAATTTTTGAGATCCTTC